GATGGTCGTTAAGTGAGTAAGATGGTCGTTAAGTGAGTAAGATGGTCATTAAGTGAGTAAGATGGTCATTAAGTGAGTAAGATGGTCGTTAAGTGAGTAAGATGGTCGTTAAGTGAGTAAGATGGTCATTAAGTGAGTAAGATGGTCATTAAGTGAGTAAGATGGTCGTTAAGTGAGTAAGATGGTCGTTAAGTGAATCTGTCTTTCCACGTTGACTTTGCTTCTCAGAAGGTTGTAAAAGGGGATCGGGTGGCCCTGGCACGGTGCGACCGTCATAAATACGAGTCAGTTGCCAAGTGTCCACGGGGATGCTGCAGTGGTCATTAAGTGTGAAAATCCAGTCCCAGGTCCCTTTTTTCAGTGCCATTGTCACTGAAAAATGAATGGTTTCAATCCGAGGGCTACCTACACACCTCCGTGTCAGGGTATCTGTACCTGTGACTGGGCCAGATTGTAGCCTCGGCTGCAAACCTTTGCATTTTAAACCTTCTGAGTCTTTTTTTTTTATTAATGCATTTGCCTCTCCTGCAGACTGGAGTTAAAAGAACCAAATTTAACCCAAAGTCAGGCTGGCCTGCTAGAGAGAGCAATTTAACCTGCCCGGCAATCTGTCTCCAGGAGAAAAAACACAAGCCTTTTTTTTTTTCATCCCCCCCCAGCGAAGATGTTTGTCAGCCGGAAGCATTTTGTCAAACTTGGATGATCACCCCAAAGCTAAGCTGGGTCAGACGTGGTCGGCAGTTGGATGAGAGCCCGGCCCAAAAACCCAGACAGAAATTCACACACCCCCCCAAAAAAGGCACACACAAAAAAGCAAAATTGCTAACCAATCTTTATTGTTTCAGAGAGAGAAAGTGAGTGGGAGACAGAGAGAGAGAGAAACAGAAAGAAGAAAGAAAGGGAAAGAAGGAAACAGAGAGAGAGAAAGAAAAAAGTGAGAAAAAAGGAAACAGAGAAAGAGAGAAACAAAGAGAGAGAAACAGAGAGAGAAAGAAGGAAACAGAAAGAAAAAGAGAGAAACAGAAAGAAAGAGAGAGAAACAGAGAAATAAGAGAGAGAAATAAAACAAAGAGAGAGAGAGAAACAGAGAAATAAGAGAGAGAGAGAAGGAAACAGAAAGAGAAACAGAAAGAGAGAGAGAGAAACAGAAATAAGAGAGAGAAAGAAGGAAACAAAGAGAAAGAGAGAAACAGAGAAACAGAAATAAGAGAGAGAGAAGAAGGAAACAGAAAGAGAGAAAAAGAGAAACAAAGAGAGAGAGAAACAGAAATAGAGAGAGAGAAGGAAACAGAGAGAAAGAAGAGAGAAAGAAGGAAACAAAGAGAGAAAGAGAAAGAGAGAGAAACAGAGAAATAAGAGAGAGAGAGAAGGAAACAGAAAGAGAGAAACAGAGAAATAAGAGACAGAAAGAAGGAAACAAAGAGGAACAGAGAGAGAAAGAAGAAACAGAGAAAGAAGGAAAGAGAAAGAAACAGAGAGAGGAATGGAGAGAGAAAGAAGAAAGAGAGAGAGAAGGAAACAGAAAGAGGAACAGAGAGAAACAGAGACAGAAAGAAACAGAGAAAGAAGGAAACAAAGAGAGAGCAACAGAGAGAGAGAGACAAAAAAACAGAAGAAAGAGAAAGAAGGAAACAGAGAAAGAGAAACAGAGAGAGGAAACAGAAACAGAGAGAAAGAAACAGAAAAAGAAGGAAACAGTGAGAGAAAAAGAAACAGAAAGAAGAAAGAGAAAGAAGGGAACAGAGAGAAACAGAAACAAAGAGAGGAACAGAGAGAGAAAGAAGGAAACAGAGATAGAGAGAAACAGAAAGAGAGAAGGAAACAGATAGAGAGAAAGAAACAGAAAGAAGGAAGAGAAAGAAGGAAACAGAGAAGGAGAGAAACAGAGAGAAAAGAGAGGAGAGAAACAAAGAAAAAGAAACAGAAACAGAGAGAGAGAAAGAGAGAGAAACAGAAACAGAAATAAACAGAGAAAGAAGGAAAGAGAGAAAGAAACAAAGGGAGAAACAGAGAAAGAGAAACAGAGAAAGAGAAAGAGAAACAGAAAGAAGGAAACAGAAACAGAAAGAAGGAAATAGAGAAAGAAGGAAACAGAAAGAGAGGAACAGAGAGAGAGAGAAACAAGAGAAAGAAGAAATAGAGAAAGAAGGAAACAGAAAGAGAAAGAAAGAAAGAGAGAAAGAGAAAGAAGGAAATAGAGAGAAAGAGAAAGAAGGAAACAGAAAGAGAGAAACAGAAAGAAAGAGAGAGAGAAAGACGAAAAAATGACATGGACCTGCCAAGATTTTTCATTCACCATGAATTGATTTGGATTTGAGAATGTCTTTCATTTTTTAATTAAGAAAAAAGAAAAACTGGAATAGCTTGCAGACGAAACAAGACTTTTAGACCCTTCCTAGCTGTGAATCGAAGAATTGATTCCTGTCTTCTGCTTCTGTTCCTGTTCAGGTGGGAGACCACAAATTCAGCGCCCATCGCATCGTCCTGGCGGCCTCCATTCCTTACTTCCACGCCATGTTCACAAACGATATGATGGAATGCAAGCAGGATGAAATCGTCATGCAGGGCATGGATCCAAGGTAAAAACTTGGGGGGGGCTGAGGACCAATGTTCCCTCTAGTTTTCATTGTTGATCAATGTCCAGCCCCATTTAGACGGAACAGATCGTGTGTAATTTTAACAATTGTATTTTTTACTTTTAAATATTTAAATGCTTTTTTATCTGTCTGTAAGCCGCCCAGAGTCCCAAGGGAGTGGGCAGCATAAAAATTTTATTAAATTGAAATTGAAATTTTCAGTGCGAGCGGAAAAGTATAGTGTTTGAGTGGCACATTTTCATGCCTGAACACCTGAATTTTTTTCACAGATGTCACCCAAGACAACAAGGAAATCAGTGTTATTTGAAACTCAAATTCTACCATGTAAATATCCATTAAGTAAAGAAATCTCCCTATACAGGTAGTCCTCAATCTACGACCATAATTGAGCCCAATTGCTAAGTGAGACATTTGTTAAGTGAGTTTTGCCCCATTTTACAACCTTTCCTGCTACATACAGTTAAGTGAATCGCTGCGATTAAATCAGTAACCTGGTTGTTAAATTCAATCTGACTTTCCTACTGAAAAGCTTTGATTGGCAGAAGGTTGCAAAAGGTGACCCCAGGACACCGCAACCCTCATAAATATGAGACAGTTGCCAAAGATCCAAATTTTGACCATGTGGCCATGGGGATGCTGCAATGATCATGAGTGTGAAGAACAGCCGTAAGTCACTTTTTTCACTGCTGATGTAGCTTCAGTCATTAAGTGAACTGTTGTAAGTTGAGGACTACTAGTATTCAGGTTCAGGGGATGACTCTCTATGGGAAAAGGATCAAAACTTCCCTCTATCCACATTTTCCATACTATGAATTACTTTATATGCTTTATACTTTCCCCCTTACTATCCAATGGTCTGCAGTGATATTAGGAAGTTATGAATAAATTACCAACTGATGTAGATTTAGCAATTGGGGCACATAAAGAAACAAAGAGGGGAGAGGAGGGAGGGGAGGAAGGAAGGAAGGGAGAGAGAGAGACAGAGACAGAGACAGAGAGAAAAAAGGAAAGAGGAGAAAGAGAAAAAGAAGGGAGAGGAGGGAGGGAGGATAAGAAAAAGGCAGAAAAAAGAAAGAGAAAGAGGAAAGTAAGAAGGAGGAAGGAAGGAAGGAAAGAGAAAGAAAGAAAAAAAAAGAGGAGAAAAGAGAAGGAATAGAGACCAAAAAAGCAAATAAGGAAAAGTAGGGAAAAAACTTTCACTGGAAAACACTATTTTCCCATCAGTGCAAAACTTTCCTAAACAAGGTTAATTTTCCGGATTTTGACTTTCTGGTCCAGGCGGACCAAGAAGCCTCTATTTTCTTTGAAATGAAATCAAATAAAATCCGCAGAGTACCAGCTCGACTCCCCCTTCCTGCGAAAAAAAACATTGAGCCTCAATGCTCCGAATGCAGAGGCTGGATTCAGACAACATGTGCACACCCGGCATGGGTCTCCACTTGTTTGCATGGCGAGCGCCTCCCACACGCCCGCATCTCGGAAGCGGAGCCAACGGTGGGGAGCCCAGCCATGGGAGCTTAGCCGACAAACCGCGACGGAAGCATGCTCTGCGCGTCCCGCGGAGAGTTGGCTGCTGCTGCCACTTCCCCCCTCAGTAACTTTGATCCAGGAGGGAACGGCCTCCCTGTCAATCAGCCACACGCCGGCAGAGGGAGCCCAATCGTAACCCTAGGAGGCCACATTTCTGTTGGCCAAAGGCCCTCCCTCCTCTGGGTGTGTCCAGGCACTATAATATCCCAGCCCAGCTGACAGAAGCCTCCTAGCCGCCTGCAGACTGAAGTCCATCATGCTGAAAATCACTGTGGGACAGTTGGAATCTGCTGCGCTGTGTTTTGTTGCCACCTGCGCAGTCGCGCAGCCGCATGGCCGCGCAGCTTAGAGGGAACATTGCTGAGGACATTTCCCCCATCCCATCACCCCCTCGGGATGGGCCAAATCTATTTCATGGTGGGGTCCTTGGTGCTCTCTGAGCTGGGCGGTTTTCTTGCAGACTTTTCATCACCCGACTAGGTAATGTCATCAGTGCTAGAAGAGAAAGGAGTTGTGAAGAGGAGAAAGAAGACTGTGAGTTCTTTGGTTTCTCTCTTACAGACGTTTCATGACCCACCTAGCGAACCTCATCAGTGCTGGAAAGGAGCATGGTTTGCTTCTAGCACTGATGATGTTACCTAATTCAGTCATGAAACGTCTTTGTCCTCCACGCCATCCATCTGGTAAGCTCACAAGATTCGTTTTTCTCGCCTTGGACACATCCGAACTAGACTGTGTGGTTTCTCTGTGTCATATAATATCAGTGGGTGTATACATAATTTTGGATTTATTTGCTTATTTATTTTGTCCTGTTTATGTAGAGAATATTGGAGGTGGTGACCCTTTGAGAGCTGTATGCAACAAAATTCCATTTTTATGCATGCCAATTAGTCTACATTTGAAGTGACAGTGAAGTTATTGTTCTGTTTTATTCCATTCCAATTTCTATTCTATTCCATTCTATTTTTTTATATCCTTTCCTATTCTCTATTCCAATATCTATTCTTTTCTTTTCTATTCTTTTCTATTCTATTCTATTCTACATTCCAATTTCTATTCTATTCCATTCTATTTTTTCCTATCCTATCCTCTACTCTATTCCAATATCTATTCTAGTCTACATTCCAATTTCTATCCTATCCTATTCTCTATTCCAATATCTATTCTATTCTATTCTATTCTACATTCCAATTTATATCCTATCCTGTTCTCTATTCCAATATCTATTCTATTCTGTTCTACATTCCAATTTCTATCCTATCCTATTCTCTATTCCAATATCTATTCTATTCTATTCTATTCTACATTCCAATTTATATCCTATCCTGTTCTCTATTCCAATATCTATTCTATTCTACATTCCAATTTCTATCCTATCCTATTCTCTATTCCAATATCTATTCTTTTCTATTCTATTCTATTCTACATTCCAATTTATATCCTATCCTGTTCTCTATTCCAATATCTATTCTATTCTACATTCCAATTTCTATCCTATCCTATTCTCTATTCCAATTTCTTTTCTATTCTATTCTACATTCCAATTTCTATCCTACCCTGTTCTCTATTCCAATATCTATTCTATTCTACATTCCAATTTCTATCCTATCCTGTTCTCTATTCCAATATCTATTCTATTCTATTCTACATTCCAATTTCTATCCTATCCTCTACTCTATTCCAATATCTATTCTTTTCTTTTCTATTCTTTTCTATTCTATTCTATTCTACATTCCAATTTCTATTCATTCCATTCTATTTTTTTCTATCCTATCCTCTATTCCAATATCTTTCTAGTCTACATTCCAATTTCTATCCTATCCTCTACTCTATTCCAATATCTATTCTTTTCTTTTCTTTTCTATTCTATTCTATTCTACATTCCAATTTCTATTCCATTCTATTCTATTTTTTTCTATCCTATCCTCTATTCCAATATCTTTCTAGTCTACATTCCAATTTCTATCCTATCCTATTCTCTATTCCAATATCTATTCTTTTCTATTCTTTTCTATTCTATTCTATTCTACATTCCAATTTCTATCCTATCCTATTCTCT